ACGTGACAGATTCCTTTGACCGGGCGTAGAAACAAGATAGGTTTCCAGGCAACGAAACATACGCCCACAGCAACTAAGTCATCCGAGCAGTCAACAAGAGTTGTCGCACATTTTTTTCTATTGTCGGTAATGAAACATTTATAATACACTAAAATCTGATGGATTAAAATTCAATATACTTGTCTGCCTCAAGATCTTAAACTCTGTTTATCAATCTAAAGTCAATCGGGTATTAACTTTAACCTCTAGAGCGTCTACAAGATTTTTCAAAGTATTCAAGGGCCATAACTCTGGCAGTAATTATCGGATATCGTCTCATGATCTTAAACGCTGTGTATAAATTTAAAGTCAATCGGATATTAACTTTAGCCTCCAGACCGACGGACGGACGGGGGAGGCAACAATATACTACCACATTTCATTATGTATAGCATTCGTTGTAAAACTAACTCGGTGCAAAGGACCTCATTTGACCTTTGACCCTGAATATCTCGAGCCCCCCCCCCCATCGACGGACTGATTACCACTCGGCATCGTATTCTAAGCAAAATTTTTATTATACAAAAGTTGGGCCTGATTTAGTGCCCATTTGGTGGACAACCCCGCCCACTGGGATAATAAAGACGGGCATACGCCATACAGTGTATTATGTGGGATATTTAGCCCGAACAGTGGCACTACGGCCTACTCTTACTTCGAATTCCAACTTTCAAGGGTTCTTTAAAGTGCAGGCCAATATATACACGAAACCTCGGTTGGTTTTTCGTCCCATCCGAACGACTATACGATGTACCTTACCAGGCCCTCCGTACTGCACCACTGACAATACCGGAGTCGAATACGGGACATGCAGGTTAGCGACCCAAAGTCTTATCACTGAACATCCGTGGCCGTAGACATAATTATGGAATTTTATTTTATGAAGCAATTTCATGCGCATTGGGGACAACGAACGAAAGGTCGAAAGGAACGAGTAAAACATATTCGATAGCTTTATAATACGATATGTATGACAGTACCACAAAAACATAATTAGTACAAGATTATTTGACATTGAACATCACTGTAGGGATCTTTTGTCTATAAAATCAATGAATAAATAAAAGATAGGGTGCCAGGCCACGAAATATAAGCCCATAGCAGCTAAGTCGTCCGTGCAGTCAACATTTATAATACACTAAAATCGTATTAAGAGTAACAACTAATTAAGTAATTATCAGAAAATCATTAGAATTTGTTTTACTTTTAGTTCTATCTCATTGAACTAAAAATCTAATATCATGGATTTAGCTGTTCCAAGTTATCAAAGATAGGTTGCCAGGCAACGAAACATACGCCCACAGCAGCTAAATCGTCCGGACCGTCAACAAGTGTTGTCGCATATTTCATCTTTTGTAGGTAATGGGGTCATTTACAAGACAATTTCATACAGATTAGATGATAATTTTCGTCCTTTTAGGATTCAGAAGGTGCTACAAACAGAAACATGGACCTTAACTCTGGAAGTAATAAGCAAAAATTGTTGAAATTCGACAGTTTTTTTCGTTTTACTTATTTAAATAATCCATATAAATTTCATATAGATCGGATGGTGACTTGTCGTTCACATTGTTCAACGAGTAAAAAAAAGGGGAGAGAGAGAGAGGAATGGAATTTAACGTCCACTCGACACAAACTAGGTCATTTCGGGACTAACATATGGTTTTTAATTTTATTTCAATAATTCGCTTGCGCGTAGGGGTCTTTAGCAGTGGGAGGAAACCGGAGGACCCGGAGAAAACCCACGAGGTTGGACAGGCGACCCTACTCCTTGTCACGTACAACCGGGGATTCGAAACCACGCCAGTTGACTCAATGACAGACTTTATGATACGGCGTGCACACGCTAACCATTCAGCCATCCAACCCCCCGAGTAAAAAAAGGCCCATAACTTGAGAAGTAATTACTGGAAATCGCTGAAATTGAATAGGCTTCTTCGTTTCACTAATTTAAATGATGCATATAAATTTCATATGGATATTAGAACGCTGAATATCGATAGGGTTCGTCCTCTCATTACCACGATGCTTCACACCAAATATGAAAAAGATAGGTTGCCAGGCAATAAAACTTACACCCACAGCTGCTATCATCGGAAACCGTTGAAAATCAATAAGCTTCTTCGTCTCACTGTGTCTAAATTTATAGTCAATCTCATGACCTTAAACACTGTGTATAAATTTAAAGTCAATCGGGTATTAACTTTAGCGTCTACGGCATCCACAAGATATTTCAAAGTGATCAAAGGCAAAAGATCTGGCAGCAATTATCGGAAATCAATGAAATTCAATAGGCTTCTTTGCCCCATGAAAATAAACACTGTGTATAAATTTACTCGTATAGTCAATCAGATATTAACTTTAGTGTCTAGACCTTCCACCAGATATTTCAAAGGGATCAAGGGCAGTAAATCGGGCAGTAATTATCAGCAATCATCAATTATCAGCAATAGGATTCTTCGTTCCACGACCTTAAATACTGTGTATAAATTTAAAGTCAATCGGATATTAACTTTAGAATCCAGCGCGTCGGCAAGAATTTTTTAGAGTGGTCAAGGGCCATAACTCAATAATTATTGGAAATAGTCTTCGTCTCATGGCCTTAACACTATGTGAAAATTTACAGCCTTCAGAGCGTCCACAAGATTTGTTAGAGTGATCAAGGGTCATACCTCAGGCAGTAATTATCAGATATTGTTGAAAATCTATAGGCGTCTTCGTCTCATGACCTTAAACACTGTATATAAATTTAAAGTCAATTGGGTATTAACTTTAGTCTCTAGAGCGTCCACAAGCAATTGTGGACGCCGGACCGAAAGACGTATAAAAACCGTCCAAAACTACAGTCTCTATCACCTTCACATGGTTTTCGTCAAAGGGGGGACTCTAGAACGGAAGAATACAGATAGGCTTCGTCCTCTCTTGACCACAATGCTTCACAACAAAATCCGTCGCAAACTGTAGTCTCTATCGCGTTCACAAGGTTTTCGGCAAAGCGGGAACTCTGGAACGGAAAGTTACAGTAATTATCGGATATTGTTGAAAATATATAGGCTTCTTCGTCAAATGACCTTAAACACTGTGTATAAATTTAAAGTCAATTGGATATTAACTTTAGTCTCTAGAGCGTCCACAAGCAATTGTAGACGACGGACCGACGGACGTATAAAATCGTCGAACACTACAGCCTCTATCACCTTCACAAGGTTTTCGGCAAATGGCGAACTCTGGAACGAAAGATACAGAACGCTGAAAATCGATAGGCTTCGTCCTTTCTTGACCACAATGCTTCACAACAAAATCCATCGAAAATTGTCTCTATCGCGTTCACAAGGTTTTCGGAAAAAGGGGCATAACTCCAGAACGATAAGTCGTGGAACGATAGGGTTCGCCCTCTCATGGCCATGATACTTTACACCAGATTTGAAAAGAATCCGCCTGAACTGTTAGCTCTTTATCTGAATCTTATATAATGCATCTTTAAGATAAAAGTGTAAGCGGACGTTCGGACGAACAGGTTCGATGGCGTATAACAATGGTGAATTCCGTGATATAGGTCTAACTAGAAACCTTAAGCCCATAAGTTCTGTATTAGAAAATTCATAATTTCTTTCATTTGATATACCGAGTTGAACTATAAGAAAGGTTGTCTGACACTATGTCTCATGATGCTTTATGGATAAACGTCAAAATACATTTTTAGTTTCTCCAGAAAGCATTATTATTTATGATTTATTGAAAAATACTTTTAGTCCAGGCATTTTAACTCAATTTCGCACCATTCCGGGCAGCTGCTGCAATAGATATGTCGACCATGGTTTATGTTCGGTTTAGACGTATATTACCACCAAAAGGTCCCAGTCCGAAATCCGTGCCCAAATGGGTTAAATTGGCAAAAATCCAAAATGGCCGCAAGTTTTCACTGGAAAATGCCAATTTTTATCCACTTATCATACAATGATCGAGATCGGTATCAAAATATATACTTTTGGGATAGCTGAATCCATTCACTAATTTAAATAATGCATATAAATTTCAGAAATATAGGATGATAACTTTTGGGGTTTGAGCGTTCACAAGGTTAAACAAGTGAAACAAGGACCATAACTCTAGAAGTAATAAACGGAAATTGCTGAAATTCAATAGGCTTCTTCGCTTCCCTAATTTAAATATTGCATAAAAATTTCACAAAGATCGGATGTTAACTTTTGGCATTAGAGCGTTCACAAGGTTCATCAAAGTGAAACAAGGGCCATAACTCTAGACGTTATAAACGGAAATTAATTGAAATAAAATAGGCCTCTTCGTTTCACTAATTTAAATAATGCATATACATTTCAGAAAGATAGGATGATAACTTTTAGGGTTTGAGCGTTCACAAGGTTAAACAAAGTGAAACAAGGGCCATAACTCTAGAAGTAATAAACGGAAATTGCTGAAATTCAATAGGCTTCTTCGTTTCCCTAATTTAAATATTGCATATAAATTTCACAAAGATCTGATGTTAACTTATGGCATTAGAGCCTTCACAAGGTTTAACAAAGTGAAACAGGGGCCATAACTCTAGACGTTATACACGGAAATTAAACAAAATATATCAATGTAAACAAAATATATCAATTTTAAAACAATTGGATGATAACTTTAGGCGTTAGAACGTTCACAAGAAATTATGGACGGACGGACCGACGGACGGACGGACGGGGGCGACGGCAATATACGTCCACATTTCTATGTGGGCGTATAAAAAGCACGACCATTTTCCGCAGTGATCTGTGAGTGGCCCTGGTCGACATACCACTACGCCGCTACCGCAGTGAGCTGAGAGACACTCCAAATGAAATTTAGTTCATACTGGATGAATGTCATTGTGTTAGGTCTAAAGTAGGAGTATCATTCATCTTCAATCCCCAGTCGGAAATCTAAAACCCTTATTGGAATTTCTCCTATATTGACACGGGGATATGTTAAAAAAAAATGGACTAAGCTACCTCGAAAACGTATATTTTGACACCAAACTCGAAATTTCCCGCCAAAATTGATCGCCATCTTGAATACACCCCTCACCCAATATTGACTCAGCGGTAACACTTATCACAAAAATGTGTATGGAAATTTTTTCAGTTATCCCGAAAACGTATATTATGATACCAAACTCGATCATATTATGATAATTGGTCGGAAATCGGAATTGACAAGTCAAGACCGGCGGCCATTTTGGATTTTGGCCAATCGGACCCATTTGGGCACGGATTTCGGACTGGGACTCTTTTTTTGTGATAACGTCTAGACCGACCATAAACCGTGGTCGATATTTTTATTGCAGCTATCTTGCTTGGACTATTTGTGAGCAAAATATTCAGATATTTCAATTAGGATTCTGTGGATTCGCGATCGGTCGTATTTTCATTTCTGATCGACCTAATTGTTCCCTTTTCCAGTGATTCCATGCTATTCCTCGCCATTGTATATTCGATTGGTTATGATATGGTCCATTTAGAAAAGCAAACCAACAATTATTAAACCACCAGCCGCCTTCCCATTCCTTTGCGCAATGTGCCTCTCGCCTGGCATCGTTATCTTGGTCTGGTGTACTGAACATCATGCGATTGTGTTTGAACAAACTATCTTTAGCACTTCCGGAATACCCGTGTACATGTAACTTGTAAAAATCTCTTTCACCTTCAACTTTGAATGTTTTATATGACGCATAGACTCGATTTCCCGAGAAGTCCCACAAATCTATTCTAAGTTCATATTGTTTTTGATTTGAAATAAGGAATATATTGTCGTTCCCAAGCCAAAACTCCATGTTCACATCCCCAAAACCTCTTTTGTACTCATCCCAATTGCGATTGAAGTCTGTATTGCCACTGAAACGTTTTTGTATTGTAAGCCAACCTCCGGGACGTGTTTCCATATCACACCATACTGGAATAGGACATGCTGAATAACTTGGTTTAACATAATAAACACCATTTTCTGTGTGGCCTTGTGCATAAATTTCTTCACAATCTGTAATGATATTGTTATATATAATGGAAAACATAGTATAGTATATTTATTGTATTAGGCTGAATTTCGACCCAATAGTAAATGTTTAATATGTCGTCCTAATCCGCACAGTATTATATAATTTAGTAAATTATATTTCAATAGATCTCAATCAACCTTAATTATCCCCATTTATATCTATTTCATATTGTCTAATATATTTCCTTAATCCCCTGTCTCCGGTATTTTTTGTTTTACACTTTAAATTGTCCTTTTAAATTGCAATTAACGTCTACGGGCTATAGCGTTTTAGTTACCATGGTATATTGTTTGTATAGACGATAGATTTATAGGATTGATGCCCTAGGTATGCATGGAAATATATATACCTAAATGAGTTAGTTAAGGGGGACCTTTCTACAAACCTGCCATAAGGAGATCAACTCCAGATCACATCCCTAAGGACAGACTTGATTTACCTGTATTTGGATATTTGGAAGCACACGTTCATGTCAAATCTCATATATCTATATTGGAGCCTATTTACCATTAATCGGCTATACCAATATTTGATACATTAATTGTGTGTTGAAATTCATGTTTATTATTTGTTAACCAAAAAATATAGAAATATTTACAAAAAAGTCCTGTCTTCATTTATACAACAACGACGATTCAATAAAATACACAAAACTACACCTGCAAAGTATTACACATTTGCTTCAATTCTTAAACAGGGAATCCGATGAAAGTACTATTACATCATGAAATCGATTAACCTTATTAGATTATGACATTGACACTGGTATGACACGGTCAACGGCCACGTGGAAGTCATTAGTTACTGCCCTTGACCTGAGTTATGATGAAATATAGGCAGCTGTATAATCTCGTCGGTCATAAGCAGAAATGAAAAGTAGATAGGACAGAGCGGGGATCATTGGCGCCTTGTAGGGAGACTAGGCGAGGGCGTCTAGAAGTTAATTTGCAATCAGGCTGGCCTCGAGTTAAGACCGGACAGTGGCCATGTAAGTTAGTCGGGCGTTGGCACGCTGTGCCAAGCCAAGCTAAGACCATGACTCCCTTGACACAATCTAATTCCGGAGTCTTTAACTGTAAGAAGTTTTGTACTTGATATGTTTAAAGAATAATAAAAGTAACGTTTGAAGTTAAACAAGTGTTGTAATCAAGAACCTGATTCAAGGACCCAATACTGTAACATATTAATTGGTGCCGTGTACCAGAGCAACGTTTGAAGTCCTAACCACTAGAAGATCTTGGCTATTATTATTAAGAGAAAGGTCTTTTTTAAATCCTAACCATGTTCAAGGTTAATCCTGACAATAGTGCTATGTTTAACAAGTTAAATATACTCTTCAAAAAATGAAACGCATAGTGACTTTTCGTCGTAGGTATACCCTTGCTCTGTCCTCGCCTCGTTGCAACAGGAAACGCGACTCGTTGCTGAACCCAACTTGTCTCCAGCGTTGCTGTGGCCATACTCCGAGGTCGCTGTTGTGAATGGTTTCCGCAAATGGCGTAACCGGATGTGACGATCGAGAGCAGGTGTGGTCACTCTTGTTTGGCCTGAGCTTGGGCGGTGAGGTGTTGAACTTCTCTGTCGGTACCCATTAGACCAGGAGCCCAGGGGGTCCACCTAGCTGAAAAGTGTACCAATTTTCTTCTGTATGGTATCAATGTATGTATATCTGGTATCATCAGAATGTAAGTATGCCGGGTTTCTGGTGGTGGGTGTGGTATCCCACGCCCTAAATGCCATGACCCCCAACTAGGCTAGATTAGCTCAAAAGTGTACCAAATGAAAATCGTACAGCAGTGTACCGTACATCTTCAGGTATTACAAAAACACTCTGACAGACATTTCTAGTGGTGGGTTGCCCCTGACAGAGCTATGTAATTGCCAGACATTTGTAGTGATGGAGTATCCCTGACAAGAGTTATCTAATATTTATACCTATTTGTTGGGAAAGGACAAAAAAATATATACATATATATATATTGTTTGTTTTATAATGGGTCGTGTTTTTTTATTAAAGATTATGAATTATAATTGTTTGTTTTTGAACACATATTTTTGCATTTAAAATTAGTATTTACCAAGAATTAACAGATTTATAATGCGGAGTAAAATGATTTGTGATTGTTTAAACGGAATTGGGTTAACGATAGTATCGTAATATGGAAATTAACTCATAAAGATTCACAAAGTATTAACGGGTTTTTCTGTTGTATTTTTGTTTTGTTTTGTCTATATCTATATATTTTTGCGCCGATTTTACGGGATGCCTCGATATTTACGAGAGAGATTTATTCGCGTTTCACAAAGTGCCCCGATTGTTACGGGATGGCCTGATATTTACGGGAGAGATTTTATATTGTGTTTTAATGTAGTACCCCAAATATTATGGGATGCCCCGAAATTTCGGGAGAGATTTTATTTGTATTCCTCGAGAAGAATTGAGTGGCTATATACGCTCGCGGCCAGATTAGGGGCGAGTGTGATGTTTTGTTTTGTTTAAAAAAAATAGAGAGATCAACCGTTTGTTAATTTTGATAAGTTCTTTCAAAAATGTCTTATTTAAGAGTGGTGAAATGTGTTCAGATAATTTTTTATTCTTTATCTTGAGGGAAAACAATGACATTCTATTTTTTTATTCATTTTTTTTTTTGTTAAATAATAATGCAAATATTTTGATTAATTGCTAATTTGAGTTCACTCAATGATGTAATAAGCAGATGATAAAACTTGGGCACGGGTGGCAGTTATAATATTCTTCATAGCAAGACATGTCATAACACACAGTTCGGCCAGACGGTAAGGAAAGGGAAAAGACTACCCGAAAAAAAAATAAAAGCGGCCAATCTTAAAGAAGAGAAGGAAATGAAAGAAGAGAAGGACAGAATATACGAGGAAAGAGATACCTTGTACCCACAACGCCGATGTCCTGAAGAAGAAGAAAGAAATAATTTCTTCAGTGCGTGTGTGACTTTGTAATGATTGATTAAAAACGTTTGTGTGACCATTAGAAGAATTTATATTATATATATTATGTGATTTCAATAACTCCGTGTGTCACCAATAGAATAGTTTGTATTATATATGTGTGTGATTTTAATAACTCGCGAGGGTGACCATTACTAGAATCCGTGTTATATGTGATTTCAATAATTCGCGTGTCTGACGACTAAATTAGTGTTTTGTTTTTTTGATTTTCTTTCTAGACTTTTGTTTATTGTATGACATTTAATCAATGTTGATTTTTATAATGTTGTTTATATTTTAATTAGGGTAGTTATTATCGACTCCATTTATATTCAATTTTGTAACGGCCTTAAAAAAAGTTATTTCTTAACTTTTTCCTAAAGAAAGAGATGTTATAGACGCTTTGTGCCATCTTGACACGTGAAAGCGGAACTGATCTTAATATCAACATGTCGGCTATCGACACCCATGGTGGTCCTGATGACATTCATTAGTCATTTCCATAATATAAACGTATGGTTGGCCTGTTTTATTTAACTTCCTTTGTCTTATAAGCAAACTGTACTGAATGTTAAATCTGATATGATGCAGTAGCCATATGTGTAATGAGATCCTTTGTCTAGAAGGGTTTATAAACCCAGAATGGAAACGAGATCGGGGACGAGACTAAGCGAGGGCGTCTAGAAGTTAGCTTGGGACCAGGCAGGTCTCGAGTTAAGACCGGACAGCGCCCATGCAAGTTAGTTGGGAGTTGGCACTAGAATCATGGCTCCCTCAAGTTAATTCCAGAGTCATGTGCTGGTAGACTGTGAAATCTACAAGGAGGAGAAAAGGGAAATAGTGGAGATGATGGAGAACAACAATATACCTCTCAACACCAGGAACCTACTCTTCCCGAAACCAGACCTCAAATATGAATCTTCGAACAAATCCACGATCTAATGAGCACGGTTGGACTAAGTATAATAGTAAAGTACCCACGGTTAGACGGGCTCGGCAACTAAACACTAAACTACACAAAGATATGCCAAACTAGCAGGATAGTGGAGTAAGAGGGGCCACGATTAGACGGGTTCAGCATCTACATGTAAACACTAAATCCGCTACAAATCGACACACCGGAATAGTGGAGTAAGGGGAGGTTACGATAAGACGGGCCTGGCACTTAAACATTAAAATCCAAACGATATGTTTATTAATAAATAAAGGGAAGAACTTCCCAATAAACCCACTCCATGGCCTAAGGTCGTAAATGGAAAGACTGCAAAATCGTATTCTAAACAAACAGGAAGAAGCTTCGGCTCTCCTACGTCTTGTCTGTGATATCACTTCTGTGGGAGCAGATCTTAAAGCACCAAGATACTACTACTATATTTAATATCTGCAGTAGTGTCGAATACTGTACTTGTGACGGGCTTAGAATCTTTAAGGTACACTAAACCAGAAAATAGGCCATATTTCGGAGAATATTCAACCAACTTTTGAATCAGATACATATTTGAGCAGCTGGTGGTAAGGCCATTTTAGTGATATAAGTTTTATTGAGATTTATTGAGTTTGATTACTACTGCAACTTTTGAATCAGATACATATTTGAGCAGCTGGTGGTAAGGCCATTTTAGTGATATAAGTTTTATTGAGATTTATTGAGTTTGATTGCTACTGCAACAGTAGTATTCAAACTCACTCAATAAATCTCTGCTTAAAAGTAATTTAAATGTATTCATTGATACGGCAATGAGACGCCAATACAAAGAACATATGAATATCTTTGGTGGCAGGGTATTATTCTGTCTTACATCCGCCCACCTTCAGCATTACGCGCAATTCTACTACATAGTATAAAAACTTTTGCTTTTGATCGAATTATCATTTTTTTTCCTGTACATACTCTATACAAATAGACTCTATACCATCTGAAAATTAACTTCAAAAATGTTATCAGGAAGTGACGTCAAATATAAACCTGAAGAAATGAGATTGGAGTCTGTGAGCCTCGGAATAAAATAAGAACAAA